ATGAGGCTGAGCACTTTTTCATGTGTCTGTTGGCTGCCCGTATATCTTCTTCTGAGCAGTGTCTATTCATGTCTTTTGCCCACTTTTTAAATGGGCTGTTTTTTTCTTTTCAGCACGTTTGAGTTCCTTGTAGATCCTAGATGTTAGGCCTTGAGACACAGACTTTCACAAAAAATTAGCTCAAAATGGACCACAGACCTAAATGTAACATGTAAAACTATAAAATTTCTAAAAGATAACATAGGAGAAAATCTTGATGACCTTGGCTATGGCTATGACCTTTTAGATACAACACCAAAGACATGACTCACGAAAGAATTTGTAAGTTGGATTTCATTAAAATTAAGAACTTTTGCTCAGGGAAAAAACATTGTTAAGAGAATGAGAAGACAAGCCACAAGCCAGGATAAAACTATTTGCCAAAGACACATCTGATAAAAAGAACTGTTATTCCAAATATACCAAGAACCCTTAAAGCTCAACAGTAAAAGAAGAAAAAACCTGAGTTTAAAATGTGCCAAAGAAATTAACAGGCACTTCACCAAAAAGATATACAGACGGCAAGTAAGCATATGAAAAGATGTTCAACATCATGTCAATAGAAGAATTGAAAATAAAGCAACCATGAGATACTATTACATACCAATTAGAATGTCCCAAATTCAAAACACTGACAACACTAAATACTGTCATGAATGTGCAGCAACAGGGAATGCTATTCATTGCTGGTGAGAATGTAAAATGGTACAGACAATTTAGAAGATAGTTTAGCATGTCTTACAAAACTAAATATATGATCACCATATAATCCAGCAAAGGCACACCTTGGTATTTATCGAGATAAATTGAAAACTTACATCCACACAAAAACCTGGACATGGATATTGGTAGCAGCTTTGTTTACAATTGTCAAAACTTGGAAGCAACCAAATGCCCTTCAGTAGCTGAATGGATAATTTCATTGTGGTACACCCAGACAATGGAATATTAATCAGTGCTAAAAAGAAACCAGCTATCAGGCTGTAAGAAGACATGGAGGAAACTTAAATGTCCATTGCTAAAATCTGAAAAGGTTACATACTGTATGATTCCAACTATATGACATTCTGGAAAAGGCAAAAATTTGGAGACCATAAAAAGATCAGTGTTTTCTAAGGCTGAGTGCAGTGACTCATGCCTGTAATTCCAGCACTTTGAGAGGCTGAGGTGGGAGGATTCCTTGCACCCAGGAGTTTGAGACCAGCCTGGACAACACAGTGAGACCTCATTTCTACCAAAAAAAAAATTATCTAGGTGTGGTGGCATGCATTTGTGGTCCCAGTTATGTGGGAGGCTGAGGCAGGAGGATCATCTGAACTCAGAAGGTTAAGGCTGTGGTGAGCTGTGATTGTGCCACTGTACTCCAGCCTGGGCAACAGAGTAAGACCCTGACTCCCCGCCCTAGAAAAAAATCAGTGGTTACCAGGGGTTAGGGAGGAGGAAGGGATGAACAGGCTGAGCACAGGGGATTTTTAAAGCCATGAAACTATTTTGTATGATACTGTTATGGTAAACAAATGACATAATGCATTTATGAAAACCCATGGAACTATTCAACACAAAGAGTGATCCTTAATGTAAACTCTGGACTTTGGGAGATGATGCTGTGTCAATGTAGGGTCATCACTCTGGTGAGAAACGTTGATAATGAGGGAGGTTACGCATGTGTGGGGACAGGGAATATATGAGAAACCTTTGTACCCTTGGCTCAATTTTGACATGAACCTAAAACCGCTCTAAAAAAATAGTCTATTTTTAAAAAGGTGAGTTTGGGTCAGGAGAAGTTATTAAAGAAGTAGCATGTTCCCATAGGACACAGTAATTTCCACTGATATGCCACTAAGGGGTTCCCAGTGTTGAGGTTTCTCTGACATTTATACCTCAGATTTCAGTTAAAGAGTTCATCATCTGCCCATTGAAAGTGGACTGGATTAAAACAAATGTGGCACATATACACGATGGAATACTACACAGCCATAAAGAAGGACAAACTTATGGATTTTGCAGCAAATTGGATGAATTTAGAGTCTATCATACTCGGTGATCTATCACAGAAACAAAGATCTGAGTACTACATGTTCTCACTCATAAGCAGACCCTGAACATTTATCATAATACCATAAGAAAGGGATTGGCAGCAGTGGGACACCGCTGGGGTGGGGGTGGGGCAAATATAAATAAGGGTACCTGATCTCAAACCAGGTGAAGTGGGAGCCAAAGGGAGGCCCAAACTTTACCTGTATTAAGAACACTTATGTACCTAATCATGAAATGTACCCCACATCTTTCAAACAAACAAATAAATAACTAGAGTTGATTATCTGTGAATTAATTTATAAATACAGGGTGATCTTTCAAAGACCTTGAAGGGTAGTCCTTCTGGAACCCTAACTTCTAATTTGACTAATTTATACTTTTAATTGTTTCTTTCAAATGTTCTCATAGATGCCCTTGCCCTCTCTGTCCTTCTTCAGCCCCATTTATTCAACACAACATAAGTATCCCAGACTCATGAATGTCACCCGAGGCACAGTCCCCTTTATTTCCTTGCCACAGGGATGAACTGGAGGCTCCCTGAAAACACGAGGCAGTAGTTTTAATAGCAGCTACATTTTGTCGAACGTTTTCTACATATCAGACTTCGTGTTTATCTATTTTTTTTCAAATTTTGTAAAAAGTATAGGTTGACAAGTTGTGAAAATAGTACAGGGTTCCCTTCACACTGTTTGCCCTGATGGTTAAATCTTATGTAACTATAATGCAATCTCAAAACTAGGAAATTGACACTGCATTAATGTGTGTGGATAGTTCTATGCCATTTCATCACATATGTAACCACTACCATGATCAATATACAGAACTATTCCATCACCACAAAGATCTACCTCGAGTTACCTCTATATAGTCATATTCACCCCACTCCCGTTACCCCAATCCCTAACTCCTGGTAGTCACTAATCTGTTCTCTATCGCTATAATTTTGTCACTTCAAGAATGTTATATAAATGGGGCCAAGCATGGTGGCTCATACCTATAGTCCCAAAACGTTGGGCCGAGGTGGGAGGATTGCTTGAAGCCAGGAGTTCAACACCAGCCTGGACAACAAAGCAGCAAGATTTCATTTATACAAAAAAATAAAATAATTAGCCCTGTGTAGTGGCATGTGCCTGTAGTCCCAGCTAATTGGGAGGCTGAGGCGGAAGGATTGCTTGAGCCCTAGAATTTCAGGTTGCAGTAAGCTATGATTGTGCCACTGCACTCCAGGCTGGGCAACAGAGTGAGACTCCATCTCTAAAATAATAATAATAATAATAATTTTTTAAAAAAAGAATGGTATATAAATGAAATATATACTGTGTAACCTTTAAAGGTCAATTTTTTTCACTCAGCCTAATGCCTGTGATATCCATCCAACTTTTTACTAAGCCCTCGGTTGTGAAGATTTTTCTCCTACGTGTGTTCAGCCCCACTCTAGAGAACGGGATCGAATCCTCCCTTCCTAGATCTCCACAGACAACCCATCACAGTGTCCTGATTCCATTTCCTAAATGTGTCTGAACTCTGTCCACTGCTCTCCTTTTTCACTGTGCCACACTGATAAAGCTTCTGTCATCATCGTCCACCTGAATGACTGGCAACTTTCCAACTGTTTCCCCATTTCCACTCTGGCTGCCCCCAAAGCCAATGCAAACCTGATTTGGTTTCCTGCCCAAAGCCCTTCAGTGGCTCCCACATTTCTTAGGATACAACCCAAATCTTTATCATGGCATGTGAGGCCATGTCTGTCCGGCCCCTCCTTATCTATTTCCCAGAACTCACCTTGAGCCTCTCTCTTCCGCTCAGCCCTAACCCCTGGCCTGCTCTCTGTTCTATCAAAGTACCATACTGCTGTGTGTGGTACCCCCACATGCTGTGTCCTCTGTAAGACAGCACTTTCCCCTTTCCTACTTCCTCAATCTGGCCAAACCCTGCTCAACCTTCAGGCCTCAGCTTATATATCACCTCCTCAGGAAAGCCTTTTCTGGTCCTCCATTGATGAGGCTCTCCCTATTGTAGTCTCTTTCAAAGTACTTAGCACAATTGTAATGAATTAGTCATTTGTGCAATTAATTAATCTCTGTTTCTCCTATTGACTAGATTGTAAGTTCCCAAAGATGCCATGGCTATCCAGTTCACCCTTGAATCTCCAGCTTCCAGAGAAGTGTCAGCTCTTGTGGCTACTCAGTAGATTCTTCCTGAGCACATGAATGAAGGAAAGTAAAGCCGACTGGTCCTCAGTTACTGTGCCTTTAAGACAGGGAAGAACTTGGTGGAGCTATAGAGAGTAGGGGATTACCAAATGACACACTGGACCGGAACAGCTGGAAGTTAAAGAGACTTACAGCAAAGTCCCTCCTCCTTCCTTATTCAAACCTCCTTGTGTGTTGGTGAGAGGCCTTGTAAGGGGGAAGGTTTTTATGAGGTGCTAGGGACCCATTTTTTAGTCTTGTGTGTCTGCAAAATGTTGGCAGTTTCTTCAGGACACTGTTCGATTTCAGATTTGGCAGCACTAACTGGAAAACATCTGTGGATCTTTAAGGAGGAAACTTCATGGTAGTGAGAGGCCTTTTTTCAACACCATATCTAGAGGAGCCCCCCCTTCCCCTTGTCTTCTCCCCCATTAGGCTGTAAGCTCCAGAAGGGCACCACTGTATCTCCAGTGCCCGGCACATAATAAACATTTCATAAATATTTATCAAGTGAAGGAAGGGTTAACGGGTGAATGAATGAATGAACAAATGAATGGTTAGGACAATTGTTGAAGGTCCCACAAGTTGACTGGAAGCCAAAACTGACTAGCCTCAAAATGTGCTCTTGGCCTCATGTCTCCTCTGGGAGCTCGGTCCCTTCACTCTAGACTGAGAGCAACAGCAGGGTGGGTGG